GTAACTTAACGATTAAAATCTCACCACGTTAGTGCCTTTGTCATTCTGTCTACGCATGTTTCTTTCCTATTTGACTTCTAAAACAAGGAGGAGCTTTAGGGAGCATGCACACATGCCCCTCAAGGACGCTAGCTGTTAAATGTTGTGGGAGACATCTTCTTGCTTTCACGCTCTTGAAGGTTTGTTTCCAAATAAATGCGTTGCAAATTCATTTTCCATTTCACTTAGCAATATGACATTTCAGGATCAAGGGTTTTTTGAGCCATGAGCACAGGCTTCCAGGTCAGGGTCATGGTGGCACTGTGCCTGGACTCTCAGGGGTCTTTGGTCTTACTGTGGGCCTGGGACCCAGAGGGTTGAGCTTACTCTGTGGCCTAGGATGTGCACTTGTTTTCTTTCCGGAGCCAGTAGCTGAGTATTAACTGTGGGCCAGGACCAGTGTTGTCCGTTTTGTGCTTGTAGCATTTTCTCCATTGCATAGTTGTGGAAAGCCAAATGATTTGCTTAAAGTCACTTGTCTGTGTGTTTCTGAAACTTTGCTGTCCACTGTTTAATACCAGGTGAAAGAAACCTAAAAGGCAAACAAAAAATCAAGAATGTGGTTCGAGTTCAGAAGCTATGCATGGAAACTGAGGTTAGGAAGTAGGCAGCTGTTAGTTCAGCAGTGACCTTTTATTTATTTATTTATTTATTTTTAAAGATTTTTATTTATTTATTTGACAGAGACACAGCGAGAGAGGGAACACCGCAGGGGGAGTGGGAGAGGGAGAAGCAGGCTTCCCTCGGAGCAGGGAGCCCGATGCGGGGCTTGATCCCAGGACCCTGAGATCATGACCTGAACCAAAGGCAGACGCTTAACGACTGAGCCACCAGGCGCCCCTCAGCCGTGACCTTTTAAAGGTGTGTGGACAACGCAGGCCCTGGGAGAGGGAGCCTGCGCTCACACAGCACGTGGTGTCAAGGAGCTGCCACGGGGGTCACTGCAGAAGGTGATGGTCCCTCAGGTATGCTTCAGGTGTATACAGGCTCTTCCTCCATGTGATAGATGTACCTCTTGGATCCCAGTTTTATGGGGTGAGTCTCATCTATGGCCGCGGCACACAGCGTTTCTGCCTCACAATTGGGAAGGTTCTGGGTTTCCTGAGCAGAGCCTCCACAGTCAGATGAGCTTGACTTTTTTTTTTTTTTTTTTTTTTTTTTTAAGACTGAAAAGAACACAAATTTGGTTGAGGTCAGAAAAATACATTCTGAGTACATTCAGAAAATAGTGGATGCCATAGAACTAGATAAATCATATTTTGCAGCAGGGAGAATTGTGTACATAAAATACCATTCATTAGAAAAAACTCTTGAAATTTGTTGTTTGCTACCTGCCAATTAGGAGGTATGCCCGCAGCTCATTTTGTGTCTCAGGTAGGCAGGCATATGGTGAGAAGGTGTTTCCTCCAGAGGCCTGTTCTGGAGAGGCAGGCTTGTTTCAGGCATTTAAGACTTCAGTCCTTCTGGGTCAAACCCTGGTTTATAGCCAAAATGAAGGATTTTGAGGGCTTATTTTCGGCAGTGCAAACTCTGTGGCTATGTCTAGCCTTGGGTCCCAGCATCTGCATTGCTGGGAGGGGAATGTGGGGTGCATGTGCCCCCAGCTGAGAGGGTTCCCAGTGCCCTCTTTGGGGCAGAGAAAGGCACAGTTTCCTGGTGATGGGAGCCGAGGTGCTGATGGCCTGCTTGAGACAGGCCTCCTTAGATGTGTCAGGGCAGGAGTGGGCTGTCCAGTGACCCACAGCAGAAACTCGATTTAGGGAATGCCGCCTAACCAAGAGCCTTGAGCTGGGGTCCCCTGGGAGCTCCTGTCCTTGTGGTGGGCTGGGAGATGTCTCCATCCAAAACCTCAGGCCCATCTCCCGTTCCAGAGAAAACCGACCAAGGTGGGCCCCATCCCTGCAGATGCAGGAGGGGTACCCTCTTCCTTGTGAAAAAGAAGGTTACGGATTGTGTTCTGTCCTCGGGCCTGTTGTTGGACTGTCATCACACTCATGGGCTAAAATACCTCCCAGTGGTGACTTGTGTTTGCACCTCTGGCTCACAGCACACTCCGCATCTTGAATGCTCCTTTGGTGATTCACCTTGAACGGCCTTGCAGAAACTCCTGTTTTTTCTTTCATTGTGTTGTTCAATATCTACTACTCTTCCTACCCTAGCATCAGGACATCACATTTATAGTGAGTAAAATTGACATTTAAAATCTTTGGGGGGAAAGTGCACTCTAAATTAAGTGGTTTTGGGCGCCTGGGTGGCTCAGTTGGTTAAGCGACTGCCTTCGGCTCAGGTCATGATCCTGGAGTCCCGGGATCGAGTCCCGCATCGGGCTCCCTGCTCGGCAGGGAGTCGGCTTCTCCCTCTGACCCTCTTCCCTCTCGTGCTCTCTCTCTCTCTCATTCTCTCTCTCTCATATAAATAAATAAAATCTTAAAAAAATGAATTAAGTGGTTTTTATAAAATTAATTTTTCTTATTGTCACAGTGGTACCTGTCATTATGGAAGATTTAGAGGGTTCACATAATCAACAAGATGTAGGTCACTGTGGGCTTTCCACCCCCGTATTTTGTGCCTGTTTTCATGTGTGTCTTGTCAGTATTTCTCTTCTTGGGTGGATGTATGAGGATTCACAAACATGAAGTCACAGTGCACTTGTGACTTTTAACCTGCATTTCAAATTGTATTACATTGATTAGTTGAATTTTTATGTTAACCTAAGAGGCAAGGCAAATATCCATTTGCTCCCTTTCAATTATTGTTCATTTTTTTCAAAGGGTATTGTCCTAGAATCAGAATTTCAGAACTCTGAGGAATCCAAAAGACATCTCAGTTCTGTGGCACTTTTGGGTGTGATTCCTGGCCTATTCACATTGCCCACTGCTGTCACCCTAGTTAGTCCATCTAAGTAGTGAATCTCTCTGTGGTGAATAAATTCTCGTACTCTCAGGAGTTTGAGTTTAATAGGTGCTTACTATGGCCATAGGTTCTCAAAAGTGCTGCCCAGGAGAACTGAATCAGTCTGCATGTTGCTATCCATTCTCATGTACAACCAGGAAGGAGAAGTACTGTTCTTGGTCATACCCTGGAATTGCTGTTTTTAAAATTTGTACAAAAAAGGAAATTCCCTCATAGGCATTTTTGTGTAATTTGTTTCTTTAGCATATAAAAGACTGTTTCATTTGGTTTGCTTGGGAGGCCCTGTCCACCAAAGCTCTGATGTTTGAAGCTTTGCTAGGGCAGGTCTGTCCCCGGTATGTGCCTGGGTGTGTGTTTTGCCCTGCTTTGCCTCCTGCATATACAACATGAAGGCATCACGATGCTTTAATGGGAGAGGTTCTGAACAGCCTTGCCAGAAAGGGGCAGAATGCCCATCCTGGCTGCCTTGGGAGGGGCTCACGTAGAACATTCTGGGACATGGCAAACTTGTGGGGGACAGAGTAGCAGGAAATCTGGAGGGCACCACATATTTGATGGAGATGCATGAAATCAGGAGTGTTGTTAAGGAAAAAATGTGTCTAGCAAACAACTTTGACTGCTCTTGACCTTTTTTGGGTCATGCGCTTTTATTGGCTAAATTGTGTCTCCCCCCCAAATTTTACATATTGAAGTCCTAACCCCCAGTACCTCAGAAGGTGGCCTTATCTGGGAATAGGGTCGATGCAAATGTAGTCCGTTAAGATGAGGTCAGTAAGGTGGACCCTAATCCAAACGAGACTGATGTCCTTCTGGAAAGGTGAAATTAGGACACAGAGACAGACACAGAGGGATAATGATGCGAGGATACAGGTAGAGACAGCTAATTCTACACCAGGGAGAGAGGCCTCACCAGAGAGCAGCCCTGCTGACACCTTGGTTGGGACTTCTAGCCTCTAGGACTGGGAGAAATAACTTTCTATTGTTCTAAGCCCTAGTGCATGGGACTTTGTTACGGCACCCAGAAAACTAACACAGGCGCTATCTCTTGAGCTGAGATTTAGCTCCTGATCTATTTTGGGATGTCACTTTACCTTCTTGCTTCTCCCCCAGCTACCTTTGGATCTGGACCCCAGACTTGCACCTTTTCTCACTAGCTCTTTGCCTTCTGGCTCTGCACCTAGAAAAACTCAGCTTTACATTTGAGTGGGAAAAAAATGCTCATTTAGTCTTGGTCCAAAAGCATCTCTTTTATTTGTTATTTTTTTGAAAGTCTGTGCAGTCACTCTTAAGTGACAGGAATAGGCAAAACCAGTGGAGTTCTCTGGGGAGCAGAAATAATGTCCTGACAAGGTTTCCACATCCATCCTGTTGTGATGGGAGCTAATCTCGGAGAGTATTTTAAAGTAGATGCACATGGAGTCATGCATTTTGGAAGGAAAGAGAAGTTGCAGATGAGGCTGCTTGGCCAGCCCTGGAGTCTCCCTGGCATCCCTCGACACTGAGTATGAGGCCGTGCGGGCCTTGGAAAGATAGGAGTGGGGGAATCTGACTTTTCTTTCGAGTCAGAAGCTGTGCATGGCCCTAGGAAGAGGCAGCAACCCCCATGTCTTAATACACCCCTCGCGTCTGGCTGGTGAAGAACTGAAGCCCCCATTCTGGGACCTAGAGGGGAGAACCATGGATAATCCACTTAAATGCTGGGTCTTCAGAAAACCCTCAAGTTTGCTTGTTTCTTGTTTGTGCAGGACTGCCCATTCTCTCTTCAATTACTGCAAGCCCTGAAATTAACCTAGAATCTGCAGCCATCAAGAGACATACTAGTGGTATACTGTAATTGGATGGAAAGGAACATTTCCCCTTGCACACACTTTTACAAATGGAATGTGAACATGTCCTGTATTTCATCTCTCCAGCAGCCCCGTGCATGATGCATGTAGTCCTCTGGATAACAGAGAGTCCACATGTGTGCCCGTCTGCTTGATTGGCAGAGAGGTAGGGTGGAAGGGGTAAGTTCCCTCTTCCCACCTGTAATTATCTTTCCGCTTCAGCTGGCACCTTGGCGCTAGTGCTGCACATGCTGAATACACTTGGAGGGTTGAAGTGGATTGAAATGAAAAAGGCATCCGTCATGATAACCTCCTGGGAAGCCTGATGGGATGGAGACCACAACAAGGTAATTGGGTTGCAAGAGGAGCATCTGGTTTTCTGCCTCTTTGCAATAACTGTAGAGATAGTCGGATGGGAAAGGGATTTGGAGGTCGATGAACAACCTGCACTCTGAATCATACTCTTGCTCAATAACTTGAAACTTACAGGAGGAAGGATGGGAACTCTGGTATGCTCTACCCCATGCACAGTTTGAGATACAGTCAACCACACTGCTGGCTGAGCTGTCAGGCTGGAGGCTAGATCATCAGTCCACTGTGCATGAAGCCTTAGAATGGAATTTTATCTTTTGTTTTGCACAGTTTTTCAGCCAACCTGAATTTGGCCATGAGGTAGGAAGGGGTGTCAGGAGATGGCACTAATGGCAGGCAGGCACCTGAGGACCCCATTTTAGTTCTCTTGTGAGGGATAATTAATTATTATCTCAGGAAGGACCCTGTACCATAATTATATCTGCAATTATAAGATGTGAAAATTCCAACTAATTTTCCAACAGCTGTATTTGCAAAGTGTCATTACAGAGACACCAGTACCTGGGAAGTTCAGGCCCGTTGTTATTCTCTGTTGGCCCTCATAGTCACGCAGAGGGAGTAGTAGTTCAGGTCAAGTAAAGGAATATTATAGTTATTATGAAATGAGTGATTGGGAATCACTAATATGTCCACAGAAAACTAAATCACATAATCTCTAATTACATGCAAAAATTGTCTGGGGCTATTTAGTAGTAACTCAAGTCCGAGAATCCTTGGAGAAGTCCAAGTTTCAGTTGAGGGGATAAGTTTTCTAAAAAAACAGGAGGATTCTAGGAAGATGACAGAGAAAGAAGCACCAGGAAGCTGTCTCCCACCTGGACAGCAGCTGCACTGGTAAGAATCTGTCTGAGTAACTGTTTCGGAACTCTGGAGTCTATTGAAGCCTTGAACTTCCAGGGGAAGGCTTGGAGAGTAAATCAGGATTAATTTTGGTCAGTTTCAGCTAAATTTCAGTTTAGCCCAGGAGCAGCTACCCCCGGTAGGCAGCTGTGAGCGTGTTCTGGAAACATTTGCACATGGCTTGTGCAAACCAGGGTGCATACAAAGGACCCTGTCTTTCAAGTACTGGGGATCTGTGTTCTAATGACTGATTGCTCCTTCTGATCACAATTATACAGACAAAGAGGTGAGTGACCATTGCTGTTGCACCTCCCTCTGTTGTTCTAAGTCCCTCCCCCTCTGGCTCAAGTGACTTACATGGATTTAAAGGTCCAGTACCCCACCGTTATTCCCTTCATTTGTCACTTTTCACCTTTCGGGAGACAGGTATTGAAGCCTAGAACATTCAAAAACAACTACATATATGGGGAAAATATACCTCAGGCTGATCCTTGGCACAGAGAGAGCCTACCACAGTAAAAAACCCAAAACCTATAACAACAACAACAACAAAATAACAAAACCCAGCAAATCATGGGAAAGGAGGACATGATTTCCAGAATTACCACATTATTAGATTCATATGTCCAGTGTTCAACAACAGCAACAACAACAACAAAAATCACAAGACATACAAAGAAACAGGGGAGTATGGCCCATTCAAAGGAAAAAAGATAAGTCAACAGAAACTGTCCCAGAAAAAGTCCCAATGGTAGATCTATTAGATAAAGAATTTAAAGCAACTGTCTTAATTAAAGATGCTTAAAGAATTAAAGGAAGATGAAGAAAAAAGTCAGGAAAATGATGTGTGAACAAAATGGAACTTTCATTAAAGAGATAGAAAACATGAACAGAAATTCTGGAGCTGGAAAGTACAATAACTGCAACAAAAATTTTACTGTAGGGATTCAAAGGCAGATCTGAGCAGGCAGAAGAAAGAATCAGTGAGCCTGAAGACAGGACACGAAAATCACTGAATCTGAGGAACGGAAGGAAAAACACTTGAGAATGAGTGAACAGAGCCTAGGGGTAGGTAGGATACCGTTAAGCAGACCAACATACCCATTGTGGGAATCCCAGTAGGAGACAGAAAGGGACAAAGGCTGTTGAAGTTAAGCTACTATAAATTCAGATTAGAATGCTATAATTTTAGGATGTTAAATGTAATCTCCATGGTACCACAAAGAAGCTAGCTATAGAATATACACAAAAGGAAATTAAGAAGAGATTTAAATATTTCACTATAAAAAAATCAACTAAAAAAGACAGGAATGTGAGAAATGAGGGACAAAAAAGCTATAGGTCACATAGAAGACAAATAGCATAATGACAGAAGGAAGTCCCTTCTTATCAGTAATTGCTTTAAATGTAAATGTATTAAACTCTCCTATCAAAAGACAGAGAATGGCAGAATGGATAAAACATGATCCAACTATATGATGTCTACAAGAGACTCACTTGAATCCAAAGACGCAAACAAGTTGAAAGAGAAAGGGTGCAAAATGATATTCCATGCATGTAGTAAACAAAAAGAGAGCAAGGGGGCCAATGTTAACTTCAGAAAAATTAGGCTTTAAATAAAAAAGTTTATAAGAGACAAGGAAGGACATTGTATATTGATAAAAGGTTCAATAAAGCAAGAAGATACAACAGTTATAAACATGCACCTAATGACAGACCATCAAAATATATGAAGCAAAGGCTGACAGGATTGAAGGGAGAAACAGTTCAGCAATAATTGTTAGAGACTTCAACACCCCACTCACAGTAATGGGTTGAACCACCAGACAGAAGATAAATAAGGAAACAGAGGACTTAAACACACTATAAACCAACTAGATCTAATAGACATTCATAGAACACTCCACTCAACAGCCACACACACTTTCTTCTTAAGTGTATATGGGACATTTTCCAGGATAGACCATATGTTAGACCACAAGTTAAGTCTCAACAGATTTTATTATTTTTTTTTAAAGATTTTATTTATTTATTTGACATAGAGATAGAGAACACAAGTAGGCAGAGGGAGAGGGAGAAGCAGGCTCCCCGCTGAGCAGGGAGCCTGATGTGGGGCTCAATCCCAGGACCCTGGGATCATGACCTGAGCCGAAGGCAGACGCTTAACGACTGAGCCACCCAGGCGCCCCTCAACAGATTTTAAAAGATAGGGATTATACAAAGTATCTTCTCGAACCACAAGAGGATGAAGCCAATCAATAACAAAAACTGGAAAATTGACAATATTGTGGAAATTAAGCAATACATTTTTAAACAACCAATGGATCAAAGAGGAAATCACAAGGGAAATTAGAAAATACTTAGGAATGAAAACAAAACCACAACTTACCAAAACTTATGGGACAGAGTGAAAGTACTGGGGAAATTTACAGCTATAAATTGTTACATTAAAAAACAAGAAAGATCCCAAATCAACAACCTAACTTTATAACTTAGGGAACTAGAAAAAGGTGAACAGACTAAACTTAAAGCTAGCAGAAGGAAGGAAAGATTAGAACAGAGGTAAGTGAAACAGAATAGAAAAACAGTGGAGAAGATCAGTGAAATCAAAAGTTTATTCTTTAAAAAGATCAACAAAATTGAACCTTTAGCCAGATGGACTAAGAAAAAAAGAGAGAAGACTCAAATTACCAAAGTCAGAAATGAAGGTGGGTTTGTGATTCTACAGAAATGAAAAGGATCAAGACAATACTATGAGCAATTATATGCCAAGATATTGGATAACCTAGGTGAAATGGACAAATTCCTACAAACACAAAACCTACCAAGACTAAATCTCAAAGAAATAGAAAATCTGAATAGACTTAAGTAGTAAGGCGGTTGAATCAGTAGTCAAAAATCTCCCAATATAGAAAAGCCCTGGACCTGACAGCTTCAGTGGTGAAGTCTACCAAGCATTTAAAGAAACACTAATGCCAGTACTTCTCAAACTTTTCAAAAAAAACACTGAAGAGGAGGGAATACTTCCTAACTTACTCTTTCTGTGAGGCCATCATAATCCTAATACCAGAGCCAAAGATACTACAGAGAAAGAAAGCTATAAACCAGTATCCCTTATGAAACTTTATGCAAAAATTCTCAACAAAATGCTGGCAAACTGAATTCTACAGTGTTTACCGGGATTTATTCTTGGAAGGCAAGGATGGTTCAACATAGGAAACTCGATCAGTGTATTCCACCACATCAACAGAATGAAGGAAAAAAAAATCACATGGTCCTCACAGTTGATACGGAAAAAGCATTTGACAAAATTCAACATTTCATGATAAAAACACTCAACAAAATACAGTTGACCATTGAACAACACAGGTTTGAACTGCCTGGGTCCACTTACATGCAGATATTTTGGACAAATATGGTATGGTACTGAAAACATATCTTTTCTTATGATTTTCTTAATAACATTTTCTTTTCTCTAGCTTACTTTATTGTAAGAATACAGTGTATAGTGTAACATACAAAATATGTGTCAATTGTTTATGTTATCAGTAAGGCTTCTGGTCAACAGTAGGCTATTAGTCAAGTTTTTGGGTGAATCAATACTTTTACTTGGATTTTCAACTGTGTGGGGAGTTGGTGCCCCTAACCCCCATGTCGTTCAAAGTCATCTACCTCTACATAATAATATAAGCCATAGAGAAAAATCCACAGCAACCATAACACTTAGTGGTGAAAGTCTGAAAGCTTTTCCTTTAAGATTAGGAGCAAGGCAAGGATGCCTACTTTTATCACTTCTATCCACTATAGTACTAAAGCAGTTAAGCAAGAAAGAGAAATAAAAGAAGAAGTAAAATTATCTGTTTGCTGATGATATGATCTTATATGTAGCAAGTCCTAAAGACTCTTAAAAAATAAAAGGCTGTTAGATCTAATAAATGAATTCAGCAAAGTAGCAGGATACAAAAACACACAAAAGTTAGTTTCATTTCTGTACATAAGCAATGAACAACAATCTGAAAAGGAAATTTAAAAAGCAATTCCATTTACAGTAGCATCAGAAAGAATAAAATACTTAGGAATTAACTGAATCAAGGAGGTGAAGACTTGTACAATGAAAACCAGAAAACATTGCTGA